GTAGTTTTGGTTTTGCTCAATCTTACTGAATTCTGTCTAGTTAAATTTGAATTCGATTCTCCTTGGAACTCTTTTTGATTTCATTTTATTATTTTAAAATATAATTTTTAACACATTTTCATTTTTAATTTTCTTCTCAACTTTTTAATCCACTTTCCTAAGAATTTCAATAATTATCATCCTGTTAGTTTCTTTCCTCTTCTTTTTTTTTCTTTCTTTCTCATTAACTCCCTGACGTCCCAATGTCACATTTGGATTTCAGAGTCGCGCTTTCTGTATCCCCCGCTTAAAATACTTCCTGGATTTTTGTACTTGTTTGATTTTGTTATGTCCAGTTTGTAATTCGCATGCTGGGCTCTTCTTTTTGCTGACAGCCAAACATTCTGTCTTCTTGATGTTTAGTCCTTTCTTCTTGCTTTCTTTTACTACCTTCTGTAGGAATTCTTGTATTTTTCTTTCTATGTCTGATATCAATACTGTGTCGTCTGCATATCTAATATATCAAGACTGTAGCCGCCAATAATGAATCCCGGTAGGACATCTAATTCGCTCAGAATCGTTTCATTGTAAAGATTGATGAAGTCCGGTGAGACGACACGTCCTTGTCTTACGCCTATTTCAGTTTTTGTATATTTATGAAAGTGGATTTCTCCCAGCATAAGTTCTGGATTATTCTAATATACTTTCCTAAATATATATAAGCTTACCTAGCAGTTATAACAGCTCTTTGTGACGTACATTATCAAATGCTTTTGCAGAATCTATGCAATCTGCTCGTAATGAATTTTTTTCCTATTAACCTAAAGTTCATCTGTGTAATTCTTTCCGCAATATTAATATACTGCTAGATTCCAAGTTATTATAATGTGCTACAAATCTGTTAATTGGGTTTTAGAGTTTGGTTTGCACTATTCTTTCTTAATTTTATATGCTTGCTATTTTCCTTTCATATAAAGATGTGTGCGCTATAGTATTATTTAATACTGAATTTATCGACTGTTTTAACTAAGATCGATAACGATTTGGGTAAAATCGATTGCCGTACACATGCGAATTGATACAGACGTGATAATTTCACAAAGACTCTTATAGAACACTCCTAAACACGAATGAACACGTTTTTTAACAGATATATTAGAAACTATATTGAGATTACTCCTATCTTGTCTGTCAGAAGACTTAATATCCGTTAGGTGGCGTAGTAATAAGTGATATAAAAAGGAAAGGACATAAACTCTTTCTCTCTCTGTATACACAAGATGTCGTAGTGACAAGACTTACACATACACACAGAGAGAGAGAGAGAGAGAGAAAGAGAGAGAGAGAGAGAGAGAGAGAGAGAGAGAGTATGTGTGTGTGTGTACAGCTAATCACATAATTTTTTTACAGTGGTATTCACCCTGTACAAGACCCTGGGGCAACTCGTGGTAGAGGCTTACAAAATAAGAGGCACAACGTATGCGGATGTGTGTGGAAGATAACGGTCAATCCTGGACTTAAACAGGTTAAGGTTGCAGTGATCAAGGAATCAACAACCTCTTGGGAGTCGATTCCACAAGGCAATGGTTCGAGGGAAGAAGCTGCTGAATGGAACTCACCAGGGGAATTACTAAGGAAATGAGGGTGGTTCGCTATAATGTGTGTGTGTGTCATGGCGGGTCTTAGCCCTGAAGGTTAAGGCTGGTAGAACTAAGGAGTGTACATCATTTGAACATACTCCATGTAAATAGCGATACACCAGCGAGAGGCTTGCGACGTTTCGTCTGTGGGGAAAAAGGGGTTGCAGGTTGGAAAATAATTCGTCGCCTACAAGGACGCGGAGACGTTTTGAACTCTATCGAGAGTGGAAAATGAAGACTAGGCAGCTCCCGCCTATATATGACAGCAGTACTCCATTTTCAGCCTTGTAAAGATAGGAGATAGATACTTGCTGGAGTGGTACAGGGAACTGACCATTTCCCAAGCATCTTTAACGATGGATCGTATGTATGAGTTTCACTTGAGGTCTGGGTCGGATCCTAAGGGGTGCTCAAGGCCCGGGGCTTCCATTTGCTCATCACGATTGATGAAAGTTCCAGGTTCGAATGGCGATGGTGGAAGGACACTAGTTTGACTTTTTAGGCATTGAATATGACCAACCAGTTTTCCCCCTACTGAGCTGCTAGGGATATAGGTGAGAGGAGAGACCAGCTGCCAAGCTCTGTTCATCGAGGGTTTTTGAGGTGCACCCATATATACCGTTGTATCATCAGCATAGATATTCAAAAATGATCGGACTATACTCATAGGCAGATCATTTATGTAGAGGAGGAAGAGGGTTGAATCCAGAAATGAACTTTGGGGGACGCCCCCATTGATGGCTTGGTACTGTCCATTAACAACTAGCTTCAGAGACGTACCCATTATTAAGGACTTTATAACTCAGAAGACTTTTACAGTAACTCCATAGAGAGCTTGAGCAGTAACCCCTTGTACTACATCTTGTCCAATGGTTTTTGAAATGTCTAATGCAATCATCTTTGAGATGTATTTGTTGTCAAGCCCCTAACTAATTCTGTGAGTAATCACAGTTAGGATATCAGCTATGGACCGGCCAGGTCGAAATCAATACTGCTTATCGTTTAAGAGGTTGTTTCTATTTAGATGATCTACAACATTGTTGTTGATTATAGCTTCAAAGAGATTGCTGATGACACTGAGAAGGCTGATGTCTCTATACTGTGAGGGGCGTGAACGGTCATTCGCATTCTTAAAACTGGGCAAATACTTGACACCTTCCCTAGACTTTGTAAGGATATCTCCTTCAAGCAGCAGTTAAATAATTTCACTAAAGTCGGTGATAACTCTGGCTTAATATTCTTAACGATAACTACAGGGATTTTCTCTAGACCTGTGGCCTTTTTAGGTTCAAAATCTTGAGACTTGTCGAGCTGTAATGAAAATATAACTGAGATCGTGCTCAGAAAGTATATTTTTTCCTTTTTTGAATTACGTTTATTTGTATACACGAATATAATATTCTTTTTTGGAATTCGGCTGTTTATATAAAATACAAAAAATTCTTTAGATGTTGAAGAATATTTTAAAATATCTTAACAGAAGACATTTAGTTAACAGACGCTCTCCATTACAAGTGATAACACTCTCCCGCTACCAAATAGTAACTTCATTCTGCAACGCTTGCCTAACAGGATCTATTGAAACACTTCGTTCCACTCTTCTTGACCTTTAGCCTAAGAATATATTCTCCTAAAGTCTGGTCACAGCACAATGTGCTCAGACACACAATCTTCTTTCATTTTTCATCTCGCTAAAGTGAAAATGTTTTATAATTGAAATTAAATAATAAAAAGAAAAAAAAAAACAGTCATGCTTTTCTTAATCTTTCCTACCGTCTAATAAAGCGTTTCTCAACCGGTGCGTTCGGGCGCATTAATGCACTCTGAAAGGCAGCCAGGTGCGCCCCAAGTCAACAGAAAAGTAATTTATGAACCATTTTTATATAAAAAAGTAAGCTTTATTTTTTAAAAGCTAGAGACATTAAGTACATGGCTTCCACGTCTAAGTCTTTGTCATTTGATATTTTAAACTGGATGCGAAATTCTTTAATCTTTAAGGAGTGGCTAATCCGTTCGCTGTTACCTTCTTCAAGGGATTTAAATCAGTCATTATCGGCCTCTCTAAAATAAATAGCATAAATCCCTTTATAGGAAAACTCTACCGTTAATCTTCTTTACGAATGCTAAACTAAAATTTCATATTTTCAAACAATATGACTAATTTTTCTTTAAACTCTACCCCAGATTTTTAGTTATTCTACTAGTGTGCCCTTAAAGTAAAAAAAAAAGAAGAAAAGTATGAGAAACCCTGGGCTAACCTATCGTTCATAAAGTTACATTACAATTATGCATCCTCGAGACAGACTTCATTTGCAATATTAATAAAATATATTTAAAAATATAATATCAATAATATCAACAGGAATTGATTTACAATCAGTGCCGCTGTGAAAATATATTAATCTTTTAGTCTAGGAATTGTAGTTTTGTTAGAAATGACCATAACAATTTTATAGTAAAGTTTTTTCGCGTTGCTTGTTGGAATAAAAATGTATCGAGGTCTCATACATTCTTAGATTTGAGTAGAAAATTGTAATTTTCTGATTCTCTCTCCTTCTGATATACAAAAACTTTCCAGTTCCTCACCAGCCAATACCTTTGATTACTTGCGAAATCTGCATGCACCAAAGAGTATTTTTCAATTCAAAACTTATCTTTAAAATTGGAGTATAGATAAAATGGAAAATATTTGAAATAAACAAGCATATATAATGAACGCTCGTATTTAAGAATTTCTCTCAGTGCTTAATTAAATGCAACCGTTTAGAAATCTTTAAAGATAAACCGTAAATGATCGATAAATGAAATCTTTTTAACAATTGACATAATCTCGTAATGTTGATGGCAAGACAGACATTGTGTTACGTAAGGATCATCCGTATGAAAAACATTAAAAGAAAATCACACACAAAAAGATAATTTGCGCGCCATTCTCTCATTTCTAGAGTTAAATTTATTTGGTACTGTCAGCATGTATATAAATTTTTACTTACTACATCACGTGACCAAATTCAGGTTAATAAGTATAGGAAAGCTGTTTGAAGCCATTCTTTCAAATCTGTGACATGTGTAAACTGAAATAAAAACCTCAAAATTTTAACTTTTAGCGGGACTCGAACACCAAACTTTGAGAATTGCGGAGACTACGTAACTACCTCAATCGTAAAAGCATCGCGTTAAAATTTGCTCCTGGTGGAAAAGGCATAAAAATTAAATGTGGCTACGAGAAGTTTACCGAAGTTATTCAACAATCGTCAAGAAATGTAAAGAATGAAGCCATTTCTCACCAGAAAAAAATCAAGGTTTCTTTTTCAGTTAAAACAGGAAGTGTTAAATTCATGAAAACCAAAAGAAAAAAGTTTATGGAAGCACGTTTCAATATTAAACTTTTGGATTCTTCCGTGAGAATAACGTTTCGATTTCTTCCAAAGATTTGTTCTTTGTCTCAGGCAGAAAGAAGAAACAAAAAACCGATCCAATCAGAGACACGGACGCCATTACGTAGAAAACACCTGAAAAATGAGAGAAAAGAAAAGAGATGAAATGTCAGATGTAATCGATGTTAGTTGCGATATAATACGATATAAAAGAATTTCGGAACAGGAAGGCTGTGTTGCGATAATCTCTTGACGACATCAACCATAAAGCAAGCCCTAATTAATAAGGTATTTAATAAGGAAATTATATAAATTTTCATTTCTGAACACAAAACATATGAAATCGCGTCGACCGCGAAGTTGAGTCGTGATACTAAGTGTTACAATTGTTATTTACATAACGGCTACATCCTCCATAGAAAACATTTTTATGTTTTGCTAAAGAACTAAATACAATTTATAGTAAAGTCTTTCGGAAGTTACTGTCATTTGAAAAATAGTCATGGTGGTTTTCAAAAAATATCCGAACTATTTATTTATTTCTAACCAAATAAGCACAAAATATACACGCATTCGCACACATTCCTGAACAGGACAATCAGTAACAATAAATTGCCAACATCTGCTTTAAGAAATAACAGACATTCTTACCGTAACTCCGAAGGAGTTCAACAAATGATAGAAACGAGGCTGCGATAATCAGATTACAAGACCAACATGTCATGGATCCAAGGGCGTTGCCTGTGCTGCGTGCCCACAGGGGGTAAATCTCAGCGTTCAAAGTCCATGGAAGGGGACCCATACCTTAGGAAAGAAAAATCTATCGGTAAAATCCTGACAGTCAACTGGATTTTATTTCTATTTCTCTTTAATAAATAATAATAAGATACGAGCTTGCTTCGATTTTTATTTCACCTCATGCAAGGCGGTAAAGCCACTAAGACACAACGGGTTACTGAGGGTGAAAGATTAAGAAAAAGTGAAACATTATGGAGGCAGGATAACGATAGAAAAAGAGCAATCAAGAAGACAACAAATAACGATTGATATTGCATATGAATTTTTGAAGATCAAAGTTGGCTGGAAAGCATAGAGTCGCTGAAGAGAGTTCTACAAACGAGAAGTGCGAGAAAAGAAAATTGGATGGAACTCACGGTTACATTTAGCCAATTCAACTGTAATTTGAGAACTTGATGGTCGTTGACTATATTATTCAGAGACTTTCCGTAAGTTTCAAAAAGATTTTCAAATCTTTATATTTTTAAATAAAAAATAATCGTTAATTGAGTTTTGAAAATTGAATCAGATTTGACGAGAATCGGATGCGTTTGATGTGGGGTCAGCATGGAACATCAAGAATGAATTCCAACTTTGATAAATCCGAAGGAAACCTTATACATGAGATAACTACAAAAAAAAAATCACGAATCTGCTTATTCAGAAAGAGTAAAAGATTAATATTTGTCATTTGTTGCAATTTGTTTCTTTGTAAAAGGTTCAGGGCAAATAACGATAAATACCTATGCAAGAATTTCCCCAAGATACATATCTACTTTGTTGGAGATGGCGAAGTCATTTCTATCGCATGTGAAAATTTGCCTTAAAAATTGATAAGGCCAGGCTTAGATTCAGATAAGGCAAGTCTGTAACGATGTCTATGAAGAGTGAAATATAGTCCTGATGTGGCACTGACGCTGTGCGGTGGTTAAACATGAATTCTAAGCAGAAAAGGTGCTAAGCCCCAAATGAAAAATAAACTGGAAGATAGAGAGATAGAAAGAGAGAATGGAAGACATTTTCCCTGGTATTGTGGAAGTGAAGAAAGGGCCATCTGGGTTGCCCCACCCCTACGAAATGGAATGATACACCAAGAGTTTACTTTTTTCATGTATCGAAAATCTAGCATGCGGGTAAAGTAAATTGGAAAATGGCTTTATCTCTTCCGTGGAAAATTAAAAAAACACATGCCATTGGCGAAATGAGAAGACGGGAATTATATTTCATTAGCGAAAACGAATTGAGAAATGAAAACAGATTGAATGAACCAATTGTGTGGGTTAGGATTATGAAAATCGATCCGTCATAACAGGCAGGTGATCTGGTTTATATTTTCGCTAAGACGGCGACCGACCCAGTGATGGAAAACTGAGAGTCTCTTTGTTGAGAATTACATAACGAAATATATTTTCATTGACGAAAACAAATTGGGAAATAATCTATCACTTGGAAGGTTAAAATGAGAAGGTGATCTGTTTTTGTTTTTCTGTGACACTACTGGAAAGGCGATAGTAAATTGAAAAAAAAACAAACTAGAAGACAGAAAACACTAATTTTCGATAGACCGAAGATATACTGATGACCAGACAAAGGAAAATAGAAAAAGAAATGGTAATTAAATTTTTTCGTCTGCTGAATGAGCTGAGGCTGGAATAGATTGATAGATAGATACATGCATACATACATTATGTGCAGACTAAAAGATAGATAGATAGATAGATAGATACATACATACATACATACATACACACATCCATCCATCCATACATACATAATGTGCATACTAAAATAGATACATACATAGATAAGATCGAAATAGATAGATAGATAGATAGATAGATAGATAGATAGATAGATAGATAGATAGATAGATAGATAGATAGATAGATAGATAGATAGATAGATAATGTGTAGACTAAAATAGATAGATACATACATAGATAGATAGATGGTGTGAAGTCTGAAATAGATAGATAGATAGATAGATAGATAGATAGATAGATAATGAATGAAGTCTGGAAATAGATAGATAATGAGCTGAGGCTGGGATAGATAGATAGATAGATAGATAGATACGAAGATACATAGACAGATAGATAGATACATACATACATTATGTGCAGACTAAAATAGATAGATAGATACATTCATACATACATACATAAACATACATACACACATCCATCCATCCATACATACATAATGTGCAGACTAAAATAGATACGTACATAGATAGATAAGATTGAAATAGATAGATAGATAGATAAACACTAATTTTCGATAGACTGAAGATATACTGATGACCAGACGAAGGAAAATAGAAAAAAGAATGGTAATTAAATTTTTTCGTCTGCTGACTGAGATTAAGTGATGGCATATTCATAGAGATCCAGGGACCTCTCAAAAAGAAAATGATAATATTTTTACGACCATTGAGTGACGGAGAGGAAGACAGACCTCTGGTAGCGAATTCGGTTGATTGATAAGGATTAACTTTTAAAAGCAGACAGGTTTCTAAAAGAAAATAGGAAAAGAATGGTAATTAAATTTTTCTTCTGCCGAAACGCGATAAAACTTCCCAAATCAAGGAATTGTCCCCTTTATTTCACTTGTTAGCCAAAGGGTTTTGACGAGGTGATAAAAAATGATTAATTTCAGTTGCGGAAACGACCACACACAAAAGCACGATAAGAAAGAATTCTGAACGATAATTAAAATTTGGCTGTTTGGGCTAGACCACGCCTAGCCCTTGGGGGACGGGTTTGATCAGGTGACCAAAAAGGAAAAGGCCCAGGTGGAATTTCAAGGAAGGCGAAGGACTTTCCACGCTCTTCTGGCAGTGATGGTGACGGGCACCCCCACAAAGCAGGAAGGAGACGGGTTTGAACAGGTTACGAAAAGAAGAAGGCCCAGTTAGAATTCCAAGGAGAGAGCAGATGTTCCCTCCTATGTGGACAATTGCAGGGAGAGCTCTGATTGGTTGTTTGGGGAACGCTGGCACTCCCAGAGCACATCGTGCCCCCCAGCCCCTTGCGCAAGGGGGGGGGGTCCATAAAAACAGAATGCCGTGTAGAAGCGAGAGTAGACACTGCGGAAACGAGACTGAACAGAGAGACGAGAACCACTGCTTCGTTTGATCTGATCCTCTGCCCTGAAGAAAAACCTCAAAAAATTGTTCCAGAAGTCTCGTTCAAAAACCATAACAACAAACGATGTGTCACGATAATCGGGAAGAGGGGTTGATAGTCATTGCATGGAGAATATAGGCCTGCTTAAGCCATCAATAACTGTATTATCAACTTTGTATCAAGGAATGGTATATAAATACGTTTTTTTTCTTTTATCCAATTTATTTTTTTCGTGTGACTTTACTCTAACCGGACCAAACCAAGCCATCGATTCCAGTCGAGCATTCGGATCAAGCCAATCTTGCGATCAATTAACACAACGTGAAGGCGAGACAAGACATGGGCCGAAGCGATCAACTATACGATCATCCGAGGGAATCGAGCTTGAATACGGAGCGGCCGCGGTAGACGTCATATTTCGCTGGTCAAGTGGGTCCAGGAAAGGAGTCAGAGAATTAAAATTAATGTGAAGAATAAACCACACCCTTTCTCCTATGCACTTTAAAAATTAAATTTGCCGCAAGAACAGTTATGCCAGCCCTGATGAGTGGACAGAGTTAGAATACCGAGAAGGAAGGAGGAAGGTGCAGAACTTAGCCCCGCCTGTGTGGCGTATCAGTGCAAGATGTGAAGCGAAGAACGTTGGAGTTAAGGGAGTAGCAATCCCAGTGATTACTCCCAAGGAAGCTGGATAATTCTTCAAATTTGGAAAGTTGATAAAAAAAGCAAAAATATGAAATAAAGAAAATTTTGTAATTAATGAAATTGGGGAATCACCGAATCCCCAGAACCCTTCGGCCCTACGCCAGTTTTTGGAGGAAGTGCATATAAGCAGCTGACTTTGGGGAGCTCGGAGACTTTGGGCTCTGTAATCCACGTCAGCTGCCAACAGATTTTCTGATTCCAAGACTTTGAACCCAGCTCCTCCAGAAGTTGACAACACCCAGTGTCACTATAGAGATTGGTGAGGAAAGGGTTCATTTTTGTTGTACGAAGAGTTATATGAACCAACTGAAAATTAACCCCACGAATCTCTCGTTTTATTTTTCGTTGTGAAGATATTTTTTCCTTAATTTATCACCCACTACGGCTTGAACCAGAGCTGCGAGACTACGACCTTCAATTTCCCACTGCTCTGAGATCAAGAACACAGCGTGGGCAGAGTTGATGTGGATCAAATTGGCCAGCGACCAACAACCAGCTTGGACCAGCGTCAGCATAAGCCCCGTGGTTAAAACGTCGTTCTAAGACACTGAGGACAAAACCACTAAAAAGTGGTTACACTACCGGGTGTAGGCAGCGGCGAAATGTATTATACTGAGACAAGTAATATATATATATATATATATATATATATATATATATATATATATATAATGAAGGCCAGATGTATATCAAAATATTTGTTGTCAATACACATCTGGTGGTCTATGTAAAGTAAAATAATTATAATATATAGTTGTATTGAATTACCGCAGAGGGCAAATGGTCCCAGGGTTGCATGTATTGTTTGCAACAGTCGATGTAACACAAGAGAAAATGGCTTACAAAAATGGATTCGGACGTGTCTTGCATGTAAATTATCCCAAAAGGAAAATGGCAGCTTCGTGGGTCACATATTTAAAAAATATTTCTTAGAGTCGTATTTATTTATGTAAATATACATAAAATGGGACACAAGGTCGAAAATGGGCATGAGGAAAAGCTGGTCACCATTGTTCTTAAATATTTAACTTAACTAGTCACATTCACTGGCCCAATCATACATTAAATAATCCTTTCAACATAATATCACATCGATATAAAAACATATATGCCACAATTACCAAAAACAACGCATTCTCTCAATGAATACCTAAACTAATACCCCAATTTTTACAAACATGTGGAGTGAGGCGGGGGGGCAATATTATTTTTATTTAAAACAGAAAATAACCCCATGATTTGCATGAATATATATATATATATATATATATATATATATATATATATATATATATACAAGAAAACAAATGTTAGTATGGGACGCTCCCCATGTCTAAACATGGCAGAAAAGCAAGTTAACTGGGCGAAAAAATACAGTAGGAATGTGTGGAAAGAAAAAAATATAAAATAAAATAACAGAAAACAAAATGCCCCCACTGCTCCAGAGAACTATGCCTTCTCTCGCCTAAAATGTGATGGGAGTGGGGAGATGAAAAGTGAAAATGTTGTGGGGGTGCTAATATAAAAGAAAAGTGGCTAATAACCGTTCATTGTCGAGTCTCCTTTTACATAGGTAAATTTGGGCTGAAGATTTAAAATAACGGTGACTGTTGTAGCGAATAGGAGAGACGGGTTTACGGTCAGTAGAGTGTTTGACTTAAGGAAACGGATTACGGGAATTGATTACAAGCCAGAAAAGACTGACTACAATTTTACAAACTTTACGTACAGGTGAATATGTGTATATATCTTGGTTATATACACATATTCACAAAGCCGGAAGAGATTTCCACAAGAGACAGAAGGAAATGTTAGCGTTCAGTATCGAAAATCATATTCCATGTTTGTAATATGTCTGGGATTTAGCTATGTGTGAAGCGATGTGAGGGGAATGATTTCATATTTCCTCTAGTCTCATTTGATGAGGTATCGTTTAACGAAGCGAAACCATATATATGCTAATAAAAATACGTCCAAATTCATCATCAATGATTTGTCAGCTATGTTATCAGGCTATGGAAAATTCTCGAATAATTTCGTCTTTGGCAATTTTAATTAATTTAGAGAAATAATCAGCGAGCAAATGATTCTGATTTCTTTCATTTCAAAGTTAAAATTACATTTCCATAAAAGCACAGCCAATGGAATACAAATAAAATGACAAACCCCGCTTCCTGCCTCCCATCAGCATATCTAAGACTAACCTCCAGGAGAGTGACTCGTTGCCCCTTTTCGCTCTAACAGACTCAGCCGATAGGAAGAGGAAAGGCTGAATTAACTATTGAAAACATTGCTAGGTCTGCTTCTAAGAAAGTTGTGTCATTCTCTCGTGTTACACAATTATTCCCTCCGGAATCTATCTTGCACATTTATAAGTGTCCCATTAAATCATGCTTTGAATATCGCTGCCACATCTGGTACACTGCTCCCGCTATATATTTAGAGATTCTTGATAAAATTCAAAGATGAATCAGCAATATTATTAGTCCTGACCTGGCAACTCGGCTTCAGCCATTTTCTCACCGTCGTAATGTAGCTTCTCCTATAAATACTTTCATGGTAATTGATTGGATGAACTCTTCGCTATGGTGACTAGACCTTATGAATTTAAGCGTATTACTAAATTAGCGACAGGGTCTCATCGATTCACAGTTGAATTGACAGCTGAAGTTTTATGCTAACAGTTTTTTTTCTTGAACACCTCATTTGTGGAACTCTCTTCCAGCTTCTTGCTTACCAGTCAACTTAGATCCTCAAAAATGTAAATGCTATCGTCATCTTCTCTTTTATTCTTCTTGCTTCTTAACGTTTCTCTTTTTTCTTATTCTTCGATACTGAGTAACTCATTGTGTCTCAGTGGCTTCACTACCTTGCATGGGTGATAAGATCATAATACTTCTCGAATTCACTCTCGTGGTCATGTGTGACGTCATGCGCTGCGGTGTGATTTTCGCTTCTAGCGTCTTATATGCACGTGCTTATCGTTGCTTGGAAGTCATTCATGTAAACAATAACAGACTATCATCACTGTCTTGTCCGTATATTGCTTAATATGTTGTACAGTAATTGACATCTTTGATAATGGCTTATGTAAGCCGAGAGCTTAGATTGGATTAAAAAATATGGATCAATATTGTGATTTTCTTTCTTCGTTTAATGATAATGTTATTAAGCTTATCAGAGGTTATGAAAAGAATTTACATAAAATAAATAGCCAACACTTGTCTATATTATTTAATGATATATATATATATATATATATATATATATATA